GACCGCCGCATATACACAGTTTGGCAGCGCTTGCCTTGCATCATGGGTCTTTTTCTCAAATGAAGAATTACTACAGATTTTGACTGTTTGTTGCAAGGCAGGAGAGAGGTCTGTGTTGGCGTTGTTTTTGCCCTTAAGGAATTCGGTCGCTGGTGACGTCCGATATTGTGAATGTGTCTTCGAGAATGCTCAGTCTTCCGGAATTTGTCGTGGTCCAACTCCGGGCGCATGTTGCAACGCTAAACCTCTCGCGACTTCTTGCACATATGTACCAGTGGTAGCCTGAGTCCCTGCAAATTCCGTCTGTCCAAACCGGTTAATCATTATCTCTGACTCATACATGTTCACGCTTAACGTGCTGTCATGACTCACCACGGTCTTGCACCTGGGACGCCGCTCTCAATGCTCCAGACATTCCTTCCCCCGACCACCAACTTCTTTTCTAATATTTCCGTACAGAATACACTCTCCTCCCAACTGACGTCCCCTTTTTTCCCTTCTTATACGCAACCAGACTTGAAGGTTGTAGCAGCTAGGGTTTTCCCTAATAGCTTAAGCTGCCGCAACCAATTCCACATAGGGGGTGTTATTCTGTCGGAGTTGAATAGCAGCGTGGCTGCTGAGGTACTGAGGCCGTAGACTTTCCGGTGGAGGCGAAGATATCCTTCATTTTTTTTCCATCCGCGTATCCTTGAATTTTCTCTATCCCGCGATCGATGCAAGCCTTATGTATCTCCTACAGCCGTTTTGTCACCAGGCGACGGCATTTGGATAAAACTGAGTTGTTAGCGTTGATCCGGTGGTTGCTGTGTGCTTTGGGCAGCCCTTTCTCCTCGGCAACTAGGTTGCTGATTTCTTCGGCATTTTGCCGAACCAATGCTGGTGCTAAGAATTCGGGCAACCGATGAGTTGCAGGACAGTGGATTAGGTGAAGTTCTTCAGTTTACGCCAGCAGCGCCTAGTTCCGTGTCGAAAGGCGAAGAAAGGTTTAGTGGGCGTTAACGCCACTGTTGAAACCCGTGATTGCTGCCTCAACATGCTAAAGCTGCAGTAACTCTGTCCGTCTCTCGCTCAATGTCTGGAGCGATCAACTGACACACCCAGTCTCGGATGCGCCCACCTCATGTGGTCCAGCCAATCATCATCAAGGCTGCCAAGACAGAGCGAGCATTCGGCGGCCGCCCGGGATTACCGCTGCTAGAAAACGCTTGGGATTCCGCCCCGTCAGTATGCTGACGTAGGCAGCGCCGTCGGCCGCTTTATCTACCCCACGCTCTCACACGACCCTCACGGTCAAACGCCATGCCAGACCGCGTGGCAATTTACTCCTAACTCTTCTATACACAATATATATTTTTTCTAAGACCCTGGCCTTCCTGAGACTTCTCTCATTTCCTAAGGAACCTGGCCTAGAAGATGGCAGCTGTTAGAGTTAAATCTCAATGGCCTTAAAACCTTGTGATAACTGGTGACACGTGAAATGAGAAGAACTCTCAACTTCGATGTAGCCGAGCCTCCGTCGCCTTCAATTGAGTTTTTCCTTTGTCATTTTATTTGGCCACGAAATGGAGGATTTAACCACGGACATCCTGCCGTGAAGCAAGCTGGAGACTCACAATCGCTTACAGCTCACGGACCCAAGGCTATGGTCGCCTCCCCATCCCACAGGCTACGATCTGGTGTTCACGCACGACTGAGTGCTCAACATCTCGACAGAGCAGGATATGCAAGAGAGCATAGACTTCTTCACCCCTAGTTTTCGCTAATTTCGAACTCACCATTAACACGGACAAAACCACGGTCATGCGTCAATTGCTATCCGATGCTAACTGCAATGTTCTTCGGATCAAGGCCAACGGCGCCGAGCGCAAAATTGCGTACGGACGGTGGTGGGTGTGGGGAAAAGAAAAGGGTCGACGGCTCTGCAAAATTTGCAAACTAAATACTAAACTTCTCTAAACACGACAGTTTGTAGATCGGCAGCTTGGCACTTGAAATAACTTTCCAGCCCTATTAATTTTGGCATCCATCGGCCAATACAGAAACGCGGTCACGACGATAATACATATACCAGGGATTTGGCAAGACGTACTGAAGTATATATATGAACGTACTATTCCGGATGGATGGGAAGAAAAGTTTAAACATTTAATAGTCAATAAGTCTACAGTTTTCGTTCCTACTTGTTGGCACCTAGTCTTTAAACGTTAGGTTCTCAAAATGCCGGAAATTTTGAGGGCCTGTTTTCTCTGACACAAAGTAAAACGCAATTCCTAAATTCCGACGACAACTGTCCAAACGGAACTTCCTGCACAAAGTCTTAATGTCGTCAAGAGAGCAGCCGTATGAAACCGTCGAAAACTTTGCCCTAAGTATCTCAGATTTTTATCACTATTAATAAATATCAATATAAATTCGGTCGTTTCATTTGCCTTCACAAGTCTGGTACCAAACTTTAAGCACCCGCGGAGTTAGATTAACACCGATAATGTACGATCCCTGCCACTGCTTTTTGTAAACAGAGCTGTGAGCCAAATGATGAGAGGACTTGGCTCCTTTAACATATAGAATG